CAGCCATTGGAGACTGCTCTGAATTCATCTTCACATGATTCGACAGAGAAAAAAAGAATGTACTTATTTTAGCTTTTCTTAGTTTGAGAGCTTCATCGGGCTGTTTATGTTATCTTCAGGAACATTCATTCATATACCTCAGTTTCATTTCCGTAACTTCTTCCTAACTTAGTCCGGTAAATAACTTCTAGTAGAATATTTCAAAGCCCTCTTGAGTTATTGTTTACTATGTAAGAAAATGACTTGCTTTTGTACATGTCGATGCTGGTGATGTGGAAAGAGTCTCAATACTGATAAATATGGCTATAATAATCTTAGAGTTCTTCCCATAATTAGAATTTCTGTAGAGTTTTTTTAAATTTTACTTATCCTTTCTGAAGTGACTACTTAAATTTTATGATAAGTTTTATACTTTTAATCATATATCTTTAATTATGGTTAATTCTGTAATTATGTTCTATATACATTTTAATTATTAATCTATGCACTTTAATTAATTTTAATTATGTTTGCTTAAAATTATAAAATTTCTCTTATATAAATATATAATATGACCTGTGAAGTAAATTACTGAAAAACTCACTTTCACTTTCTAAAAGAAAGTGTGGGGCTAGCTCATGCCAGTGTTTAAGGTAGCAGGATCTCACATGACTGACTGAGCAGTTCGAGTCCCAGACCTGGTGACTTGAGAAATACACTAGTGTGTGAGGGTCTAAAATCCCAATAGAAAGGGGAAATGGAAGACTAGGGGTTGTCATATAATCATTTCCCATGGTGAGTATTTTACCAATTTCTCTCCCTCTCTCTCTTTGCCTTTCTGGAAAGCAAAGTCACCCTCTGGCATAATTAAAAAAAAAGAAAGAATGTGATTCATTTCCAAATTTGTGCCTGTGACAACCTAGAAGGAAAAACAATGGGTTGGTTAGCAAATACATGCACTTTAATTGAATCAAGAAGCAAGGATGGGTGTTACTGGGTATATGTATGGTATCAGGAGAAAGAGGAAGACTATTTAGAAAATTGTTCTTACTCAGAAAGTATTTTTTTGGTCAGATCTTTATCAATGCCAGACAGAAAGACATTTACAATGGGTTTTTAAAAATTATGGGAAATATCCTCACGTTAATTTTCACTAACTATAAATGATTTCAATGTGTGCTTTTCTTGGTATGATGATATATAAGAAAATATTTAAATAGTATATAAGAATATATAATTTGTGTAGAATTTTAGTTTGATGTAACATTGGTGCACCTTGGAAAAATATACAGCTTTCACTTTAGATATAAGAGAGGAAGGAATATAAACAAATACACTAGTTGCATTTTTCTAGGATTCTCCTTTCCAAGAAAGCTTTTATTCTTTGTAATAAATATTGCCATAAGGCACATTTAGAAGCAGAAAATATAGATGTATTGGAAATTGCACAACCTTGTAATTTATTTTCTAATTGAAATATGTATATATTACTGTTTCCTTAAAAAGTAATTTATGGTAGGTTAGACTGATTCAGGAAATATGTATTTTTTAATTTTATAACTACACTAATTATAACTAATAATTACTTCAGAATAGCAATGAACAGAAAATTTTAACTCCATAGAAAAATGTGACCTATATAAAATATTATGAACAAATATGTGGATTTCCTTTTTTAAAAAAAATTACTTTGAACTCTTAAAATTGCAGAATTAGAGAAGTTGAAAAGAACTTTCATGTACACCCCTTTATTAGCTCCACTAATGTTTGCATGAAATGATCAAAATTAAAGACTTTAACATTAGGATAATAAAATTGATGAAATCATAGACTTTATCATGTTTTCCAAATATGTTATTTTTCTGTTTAATGAACCTATTAAAATTACCATATAGTATTTAGTTATGTCCCTTAGTCTTAAACATGTGGCATTTTCTCAGTCCTTTTATTGACTCTCATGACCTTGAGAATTATGCAGATTTCATCAGATGTTTTGTGATGCATCCCTTCATTGGCATTTTATGTCTTCTCATGATTTGTTTGATATTATGGATTTTTGGAAAAGATACTGTAGAGGCGATGTCCTTTTCAGTTCATCATATCAGAGATTACATCGTACTTATATGCCTTTTTTGAAGATTATTTATTTCATTTTATTTACTGTTTTTACTTTTTAATTTGACCAGAGGGTGACAGAGAGGGAAAGTGAGAAAGTAATTTACCACATCAGAGACTCAAACCAAGGCTGACCATGTGGGAGTGCAACATCTTAACCACCCTCCCACCTGCTGGCCCCCATACTTATAGGTCTTACTGTTAGTGATGCAGACTGGAAACACGAGGTTAAGACAGTGCTTGCCAAACTCATTTGCTGTAAAGTGGTTATATTTTCCTTTTGAAATTAGTTAATACTTTGAAGTAAATACTTGAAAACTAGACACAATCTCATTTCTCCTTAATGTCTAATCTGCTAAATTTAGCATCCTAGGCACTAGAAAATGGTGTAATGGTTGCATTGTTGGACTCCCACATGGCTGACTGTAGTTTGAGTCCTGGACTTGATGGCTTCTAACTCATGCCAGACCCATGTGTGTGCATGCCCAGAATTCCTAGAGGAGAATGGAGAAGTGATTGCAGCATGGCCATCCCCCCTCCTGGAGTAATTTCTCACTTTCTGTCTCTTTATCTTTCACTGTATCTCCAGTGAGTGCACTAGTCCTATAGCAAATATCTTTCTTTCAAAATAAAAAAGAAAAGAAAAGAAAAATAATTAGCATCCTAATATTGCTTGTAGAAATTATGGTGCTGTTAACATAGTGATAATTTATATTTCTCTCATTTCTTCATCATCAATTAAATAGATACTTTATATAAGGATGAGTTGTACATTCTTTTCTACTTATTTATTTAATCATTTAGTTTTATCATTATAGACTCAAAGGTTTATTATTTGGGCTATCTAGTGCAATACTACATTATTAATTTTATTTTTCATATTGTTCCCCATTTAGACATTGTAGGTCTTTAAGGTTGACTTTGATGTGTTTTTACTGTCTTTATTATTATTAAATTCATTTTGCACTTTTAAGAAAGACTTTAGAGTGCACACTAAGGAACCCAGAGAGAATTTAGAGACAGAATTTTATAAGGAAACACCTTATTATTCATCTAATGGGCTTAGTCAGAGAGGCAGAAGTCAGGTACTATTCGATAAAATATTAATAATGAAAACCTTGTGAAAGAGGAGACTCAGAAAGTGTTAGAATAAGGATGGCACTGTTAGAGAGTCCATTACCTTGAATATTAATAAGTTAATTAATCAATATGGTGTATGCATTGTCTCAGACATGGGCAAGGGGAGAGTTTAGGACAATAAACCAACTCACTGAGATTCCCTTAACTTGCATGGGTATTTTAAATTCCTCTATACTTCCAAACCACTACTTCACCAATCATAACTGCCTGGGAGATTTGCGTGTGTATATATAAATATGTATCTTATTAAACTTGTGTTTTACGTGTTTTTTTTTCCACAAATATCTTAGATGAATGTTTTTCAATATCTTTCCCTTGATAGTAGAAAAGTAAGGGAAGTGGAAATTAAACAGATAGTAAATATGAATTATTGATACTTTACCTAATTTATGCCAGAATCTGTAAACTGCTTAAATATAACCATGAGAGAATATTGTTAACACACTTTACCAGTAAAGACACATTGCAGGGAAAGTTTTATGGTAAGGTTAAAGAACCACTGACTGGTTGAAAAGTCAGTTATCTATTCCCTAGTTTTATGTGTGTTTGTGTTATTGTTTTGTTTTGCTTCAATATATTATAGATTTCCCTCATACTTAAATTCACTTACCTTGATAAGATATATCTTGATTTATATATGTATATAGCACCAAATATACTTTTGTTCTGCAAGAAACAGAGTTTGGTGTCAGTGAAGTAGATTCATTCTTTTCAAAGAACCATTTTACTGTGGACTCCAATAATTCAATATTTATTGAGTGCCTACTCTCTGAAGTACTGCTCTGTATGAGACATTTCATTCTTACACTATTTGCACTTAAAAAGCACTTGAGCAGAGTTCAAATTCATTCTACCAAGATTCTTAGTCATGGCTGCTCTTTCACAGCACCATTTTTGGAAGATGACTTCTATATTGCAGTAAGTGACACACTTCAAACAGTTGGAATGCAGTCAAACATCTGAGATTTTTGAAAGAACTGTTGAACTGTTGTATGAACTCAACTGTTTTAAGCATACTGTGATCAAATTGATTCAGGGACCAGATTAGATGATATGCTCCTGGGCTCAAACACTTCCAAGCTTTTTTGAAAAGAGAAGAGGATTTTAAGTATCACATCAGAATATGCTTGATCTAGCATAGTGATCAACATCTAGATTATTATTATAATATTCCCTTTTCTACACAATTGTTACATAATAATATGAAAACTCCTAGACTGTTTCATGAAAGCTTGGTGATACGTGGGCCTCCAGCCTTTCCAACTCTGTAAGAGATCTCTAAGTCAATTTTCTGCGATCCTGTAGACATAAAGTACTACTATATCTTTTGGAAGAATACCATGTGATATGATTACTCACAGTTCTGGTCTCCTCAAACAGAAACCTTCACACTTTGCCTCATTTGTAGAGCATGTTTAGAGGGTAGATGACCTGATGCCAACCAGTAGAAATTTAATAATAAAATGTAGAAATATTCTAAATTTTCTGGCTTCTATGACTATTTATTTCTTCTTTAAAACTAATCACACTTCATTTAATTCCTGAAAGACCTATTAGAAATAAAAATATGACTATGGTACCTATTAATAAATATTTTACCATGATCTATGTATAAAGTTGTGGATAGAAAATCCAAACTGATTTTAATTTTTTTCATTTAAATTTCTTTTATATATTCAATCACATATTACTCAGCTTGCAAAGTGATTATTCCAACATGTGTACATTTCTCACCAGTTCAGTTAACAATCCTATAAAGTTATCTTTAAAATATGAAATGCTTCACGAATTTGCGTGTCATCCTTGTGCAGGGGCCATGCTAATCTTCTCTGTATTGTTCCAGTTTTAGAATATGTGCTGCTGAAGCGAGCACCCAAACTGAGTTTTGACTAGTAGTACCAAACACTGACATAAGCTATAGGCTTTCCAAGGTGTGATCACTATCCTCTAACTCTGTTTAGTTTCTCAATGTATCTTTCTCGTTTTTTTTTTTTGTTTGTTTGTTTTTTTTTTTTTATGCAAGAGGATGCATACAGTCTCACCAGAGAGACAGAGAAAGGAGAGGTAGAAAAAAAACCCATGAGGAATGGTCCTACAGCAATCCTTTCTCCATTTCTTCTTCCTTCAAGATTCAGACTATTCAGGTGCTCTCTCCTGATAGCTTCCTCAAGCTGCAGGGACTGGGACTATAACAATGCAGTATCCCAGTAGGATCCACTGCCTTAATCACCAGGTCACAGAGCCAGGCCTCACCCTCCTTCTACTGTTCTGAACTCTGGATTAGATCACTTTGTGATTTCCCTTAACACCTCTGCCATTTACTTCATTAATTTCTCATTACTAGAGAATAAATTGTGTATAAACTGTGAATGGAATTCATCCAGTAAAATGTTTAGTTCACTGTTATGTTGCTAGGATCTGTGTCTGACTTGTAGTAGTTCCTCAATAAATATTTTTGGAAAAAATTAATTAATAAAAAATAGATTATTCAAATTTCAGCCTGTTTATTGACATTTGCAGGTCTTCCTTGCTTTCCCTCCGACTAAATCAAATTAGATGCCTCTTCACTGTGTTTTGATGTCAATAGATTTTCTATTATTGTACATGTTACATCATTTAGAATTATTATTATTATTATTTTAGAGAGGTTTTTTGCTATAGGATGTATGCACTCGCCAGAAAGACAGAGACAGAAAGTTAGAAATCACCCCTCGAGGAGATGGCCACACCACAATCCCTTCTCCTCCAATCTCCTCTTGGGATCTTGGGCACGCATGAGCACGTGCCGGGCATGAGTTTAAGCCACCGGCTCTGGGACTCGAACCACGGTCGACTACATGGGAGTCCAGCAACATAGCCATTATGCCATCTGCTGGTCTCAAAATTATTATTTCTTTATGTGCCTGTTCATTCACAGATGTCAAATTCTCTGTCATTAAGGACCCTTTTATTTATTTTGAACCTATTTTTTATGCCTCATACAACATATGACATATATTGAAAGCTTGATAAATATCTGTTGAATAAATGTGTGAATAAATTCATCCTTAATCCTAAAAGGAAATGTGTGTGTGTGAGTGTGTGTATGTGTGCATTTATCAAAGTTCAAGTCTATTCAGGCATCATTAGGGATTGTTCAAGATTGGGTATATTTGCTTTCTGGATTGGATTCTACATTGTTTATTTTTATCAAAAAAAGTTCTCAGTAAAAACATGACCCAAGACTGGCCCAAATGGGAGGGCTCCAGGTTCATACACAGAGGCCTCTCTGAGCGTGTCAGACACTCATGAGCACAGGGTCTGGGACTGACTGCAGCTGGGGATGGATCACAGCAGCAGGATCCTATTGATAGTATGTCTCTCTGTCCGTCTCTCTCCTTTTGTGTCTTGCACAGAAAGAAAATTAATCAACTTAAAATAGTTTAAACTCCATAAATAATTTGCAAAATGAACTTCTTGAAGATCCCCGGTACTATAAAACAATGCAAATAAAATGTCAAAGCACTAGTAGGAAACTGACAATAAACATATCACCAAAGAGCAATAATTTCAGTGTCAAGAATTTAAATATGGGCATAATTAAAGTACAAGTTCTTGGTATACAACCAGTGATGAAAATGTCCACGTGATTACATAAGAAAGGGTTTATAATTGGAAGTGGGCATGAAGGGAATTGATAGGGTACTGTGTGTCTTTTCTATTGTTTTAACATAGTTACACAATGACTGCTTTGTCATAACTGAGGTGTGCTGTTCAGTTTTGCGCATTTTTCTTTGTGTAACTTTATTTTTACAGTAAATGGGCTAAAGCTAAAAATAACAATACATTTAAAAACATTTCATCAAATTTAGGATAACAATTTCACTTTATAAAATTGTACAGCTCATAAAAATATATTCGGAGGTAAAAATCCGTATATTACGCACAATGGGAGCTGTTAATTGAGAATGGTGCCATCAGATTTTTGTGCTTCTGGTGAAGTCATTAACTGTAGACTTTTTTTGATATCAAAGAGGCATACTAAAATAAAATTTCCATGGTAACTACGAAAGAGAAATAGAAAGTATAATTTTCTAAACTAGAAGATTGAAAAATGATAGAAGGAGATGAAATACTCATCTGAAACAAGACACAGAAAATAAAAACAGAAAAAAGAAAGAAAAATTAAGTGGAAAGCAAGATGAAATAAAAGATATTAGTACTACGAATGAATGTGGAGGAGGTACTTATTATTATTACTTCATTTTATTATTACTTTACACTTATATATCATTACATTATAATTCAAAGATATTTTTAGCCTGGATCCTAAAAATGTTCAGGTTTTTGTTATTTACAAAGGTGTATGTTAAGCAAAATATACACAAAGTTTAAAGATAGGGGTATGATGAAGCAAATGCTAACCAAAAAATTATTGTAACTTTACTGATAATTAAACTATTACAGTAAGTTTAAGAAGAAAAAAATTCCTAGAGATGAGTAGGGACTTTTGATCTCTTGATTCATTTTCTAACATTAAATTTGATTTCATTCCTAGTATTTTTAAAGATATTTTCAGATAAGCAGGGAGCCTGATCCATTAAAAAACAAAAACAAGAACAATAACAAAACCTACTTGTACTTCAACATGATTGGATAATAATGTCAACCCTTTTTTTAGAGGTTTTTGCTTTAGGGTGTGAGTGGTCACCAGAAAGAGAGAGAGAGAGATAGAGAGAGACAGGGAAAGTGAGAAATTACACCCTCCCAGTGGGAGTGTTGACCATGTGCAATCCCCTTTCTTCTATTCTTCTCCTGGGATCTTGGGCATACACACACACACACACTTACACACACACACACACTTACACAGCATGATTTTCAAGCTACTGTGCCCAGGACTTGAACCATGGTTAGTCCAGTGGAAGCCCAGTGATGTAACCATTATGCTATCCACTGGTCCCAATAATGTCAACAACTTTTAAAAAACAGTTTATTTAATTACTTCTTTTTCAGAGAGAGAGAGAAAGAGAAGCACCCAGAACAGGTTCCTCACATAATGTTCTACCCTCAGCCCCAACCAGCCTGGATTACAGGCACAAGCATGTCTGTCTGGCTCATACAAAGAAGCACCTAGTCAGGTGCCTAGAGAACCTTCCCAAGGAGGGTCGATCCTAGCAGAGCTGCTGTCTGTCCCTACAGTGTCACAACTCCTGAGATACATTTATAAGCCACCGAGCTAGACAGGAAGCCAATTATGGAGAAGATTGTCTCCATATCTACATTTCCATTACAAATGTGCTCAAAATAATTTGTTTGTAGATATTCTGTGTTAGAAATTCATACAGGATACAGGGGACGCAATCCTTATTATTGTTATTTTGTGACCTACAATGTCTAGGCCTAACCTAGAAGACATGAAAGCTAGGCTGATTTATGCCTAGGATCTGGTTATTGTCTGATGGTCTACTCACTCACCTGTTACCACCCACAGTGGCACCAGTGATGCCAGCTTTCTGTTTGGACCCACACGGAGACCATTGTGAAATCAGTGACATATATGGCCTCTCCAGGGTTCTTGTTTTACAAGGAAGAGCATCCCAACATAAAGCTGGGAAGAAGTGAGCTGCTTTTTTCTTCTTAGCTTCAGATTGGAAGCAGTGTCACTTTTGCTCTATTCTCTTTCAAAGCAATCACAATGACTCACTAAGCTTCAATGTAAGGGGAAGTAGGATTTAACTAGTGAATGGGAAGAGACAAGTGTTTGGGAGATTATTTAAGAATTGAAGTATTATTGGTTAGTTGTAAAGTAACTTTTGGCTTACCTCTATATAATGGATATTATTGAAGGATTTCAATAGTAGTTCTGATAGTATAGACACATAGTCAGATTGGTGTTGGAATTAGAAAATTCTGAGAGCCTTCTTAAATGCTAAGACTGAGAACAGAAAAACCTCGGAAGAGTCCATAGCAGTAAACAAGGGACATGTAGGAGACTAAACTAAACCAGTAGTTTTTAAATTTTACATAAGGAGGTAGAATTCTAAGATCTCAAGAAAACAGAAGCCACATAACTCAGTCATCTACTTATGTGAATATTGAGTGAAGAGAATAAGAACTTTCAGGTTTATAATATGGCTGAGTGAACAGATGGCAGTGCCATGTGCTCAGACACAAGAGGAAAAAAATAGGTATTTTTGTATATATTCAATTTGAGGATTTCCCAGGAAAATCCAGAAAGAGATGTAAGCTGCTAGATATGTGAACTGGAAGCTTGAAAAAGTCTAAGGAAAGTGATTTTACTGTCATGAGCATGTTAATAGTCTAAAAAAAAGGACATATTTGATAATGCAGATAATATATAGAATAGGATTACCAGAGACAGGCATTTTGTGGGCACATCTGGGCAAATAGAGAAGCTTGTCAAAAACATTGTGAAGGAAGTTCAGAAATAGGAGGGGAATCATGACTGACAATGCATGTAAGTCAAAGGAAGTGAGACCTTTGGAAGAGTCACTGGCATCAAATATGGTTCAGTAAATGAAGGTCTGAAAAGACCACTAATTTCTATTTTCTTGTATTTTCCTCCTACAATTTGGAAAGCATGGTTGATAATTGCCATAGAAGACTAAAATATGATTTTTGGTGGCAAAATACATATTGTGTTGGATCAAGGTGAACACTTTAAGTGAGAAGTTAGATATTGTAAATGTATATTAGAGTTTTTCAAGCAAGTTTTGAAATATACTGAAAAAATGAATTTTCCTCTATAAATGAACAACATTTCCTCTATGAATGAATCAACACTTTCATGGTCATTTCATGACTCTTAGCAAATATTGGCTTATTGGAAAATGTCATGACTTTTTTTTCCTATGTGTGTCTATGCAAAAT